TTCTTTGGGAGCAACTCAGTATTTTCTTTGTATCAGTTCAGAGTGAAATGTATGTTTCTAGTTATACAATAAAAACATGAAACCTTCTTCTTGACTATTCTAGAACTACAATTCACAATTTGTTTCCATTATTGATTTGCAAAATGGGATGCATGAATTTGTTTTTGGATAAACAGGTTTAGTACATGGATTTAGTGACTATTTAGGAACACGTGCAAACCACATTCTATAAAAAAATATTTATTTTACTTAAATTTAATTTTTTTATGTGTTTAGGTCATTTTAATGTGCTGTTATTAAAAATAATTTTTTAAAATAAAAAAATATTATTTCAATATATTTCTAGATGAAAAGTATTTTTATTTTTTAAAATATAATAGTATTGCTTGAATATCATATTTTTATATCAATAATTTTTTAGCTCAAAATAAGACATATGCAGGACCACTTAACTCATCTACTAATCCATGTTCATAAACGGTTACATAATTTCAAGCTATATATATTCACTCCATTATATTATCTTAAAGTTTATTATAAAATAAATTGTGTTAATTTCAAGGAGGTGCTCAAATTCAATTTTACTCTAGAAATAACGCAAGCCTAACAAATAATTGTTGATACTTTTATTATGAATAGATTCAACAATGTAAGAAATAATTTATATTTGTTTGGTCCATAATCTTTAAGGGATAAATCATATTGGTGTAATAATTTCTCCCAAGAACACTACCTGCTAAGAAGGGGCAAAACATTTACATTAAAAAAAAAAAAAAAAAAAACAAGGGGCCAAACACTGTGAAACATTCTACCCATTGCTTAAAAATGTCAAATCGACGGAAGACTAGCTGTGAAGTGAAATACTCTCTACCTCTTTTGACGAGAGTAATCCCACACAAAAAGCCACGCCCATAACCTGCTCGGCGAAATCCCAAAACCAAAAAAATGCAGTCGAGCATTTTAGATTCAATCGGTGTCGAAATTATTGGCGTCATGTCCCCAGTCTCAATCTGCATGCTCCTTGTTGTTCTCATCGTCTACTCTCTCTCCTCTTCGAACCCTTTCTCTGCGGCCTCCGCTCCGCCGATCCGCACTGCTGCTAACCTCGTCTACCTCGAGAGCTCCTCCGACTCAACCTCCCAGAAATTCGAAGGCGCTCTTTTAAACGCGCTCGTGTTTGTTATTCTCATTGCCGTGGTTACTTTTTTTCTTGTTCTCTTGTATTATTACAATTGTACTGGATTCTTGAAGAATTACATGCGGTTCTCGGCTTTTTTCGTGCTAGGTACATTTCATACTTCGACTGTTCGTGTATATATTTTTGTTACTGGGCTGTGAAGTTAATTATGTTACATTTTTTGAATTATCTTGTGAGTTTATTGTATCGAATCTTCATTTGTGTATTCTTGCTGATTGTTAATTTAAGTGACGTGGGTTTATTTTGGGTTTTTAGTTGGGCAACTGGGCTGAAAATTTTGTCGATGATTTGGCTCCTAAAGTGTGTTTTGTTAGTTTGATGTGGTGGTTTTTGAAATGTTTGTAGATTTCATTTTGTAGTTTGATATTTGTTATCCATGATTGAAGCTTTGATTCAATGGTTTATCTATTTTCGCTTTGATTCAATGGTTTATGTATTTTCTTGTTGCCTTTTCAAGTTCATGATTACATGTTAGTACGATTACCAGTTCGGTCATGTCATAGATGTGACTTGATTTTGTGTTTGTGATGGTGTCACGTTGTTGGTTTTTGTGTTATTTCATGGATGGATAGATCCTCTTTCTCAACAATTTAGCATATTCCAATGCCTTTAGACTCAATTATGATCTGCGTGAATTATTATTGGGACTTTTGATTGTTAATGACATTCCATTTGAGGTGGCCTTCTTAGCTTTGTGTTCTTGCTGCTTCTCAGGTACAATGGGCGGCTCAATTTTTCTATCAATGATTCAGCATTTCTCAATTCCTGTTGATTCAATTACCTGTTTTATTCTGTTGTTTAATTTTACAATTGTGGGCGTAATGTCATTGTTTTCAAGTGGGGTACCGATTTTTGTGAGGCAAGGATATATGGTGGCATTGGGGATATTTGTGGCAGCTTGGTTTACTAAGTTACCGGAGTGGACTACGTGGGCTTTGCTGGTAGCCTTGGCACTATATGATTTGGTGGCAGTTCTGGCACCTGGTGGGCCACTTAAGATATTGGTGGAGTTGGCTCAGAGTCGGGATGAGGAGCTTCCAGCATTGGTTTATGAGGCTCGTCCAACAGTTTCACAAAATGGGATTGTGCAGGGTCGGAGTTTGGACCTTCTGGTTGGTGGTGTTTCGGACTCTCGGTCAGTGGAGATGCAAGCTATGTCAAGTAACAACGCGGATCAAAATGAGAATCAAAATCGTGCAAATTCTGGCTATACTGTTATCGAGGATACCAATTTTGGAAACATGGAAGGTGTACAGAGGAGAGATGAAGATGGGAGGTCCCTGTCAGTGGATATTTTGCATGAGAGGCACTCATCTAGCAGCAGCTCATCAGAGTATTCAACTGTGGTTGGAAATCGTGACTCTGAGATAGTTGTCGATGAGGAAAGGTCTCTGCTTGTTGCTGCACCAGAAATGAGGAATGGGGGGGAACAGGTGAGGGATGGCATGGAGAATTCTGACGTTCCTAGTAGAGGTATTAAACTTGGTCTTGGAGATTTTGTGTTTTACAGCGTTCTTGTGGGCAGGGCTGCAATGTATGATCTGATGACAGTATATGCATGCTACCTTGCAATTATTTCTGGACTTGGCTGTACCCTTATTTTGTTGTCAGTGTGGCGCCAGGCTCTGCCAGCTCTCCCCATTTCAATAGCTTTGGGTGTCATCTTTTACTTCTTGACCCGGTTATTGATGGAACCTTATATTGTGGGGACAGCAACACATCTGATGATGTTCTAATCCTCTATTTTATAAGAAGATGATTTTTACTGTTCAAAGAAATATTTTTCAAACAGACATGAATTTTGGATACATAACTGTAAGTATTAACCCCTGAAATTTCTACTCCTTTAGGTCATGCAAGGTCCTCATGATTCTAGTCCATGATTAGATAATGCAGCAAAGTCAAGTAACTGGTAAATTCAACGAATGTCATCTGACTCAGGTTTAAGGTTGTTAGCTTTATCAAATTCGGAACTTATTTTCTGATGCTGAACTTCTGAAGTGTGTTGACATTAGTGTCTTCTTTTAGCTTGTATTTCAAATGCTATGTGGAAAGTTAATTTTAATTACAATGTCACATTTAATTCTGAACAGACCCACACACACATTTGTTTGTGCTTTTGCTTGTATGGGACCTTGACAACCATGTTCTCTGTCTTTGAAGCTTTTGCTATCTTCCTAATATCCTCTTTTTAAACTTTAAACTGGATAAGCTCATAGCATAGAATTAGAATCAACATATTTGTTCTGAAATGTTAGATTATGAGTTGAGGATTTTGAATGGGAAAACTCTAGTATTTGAGTGACTGCTGGCTTGTTAATTTTTTTTAGCATGATTTGAATACCGAAAAAGCTATGAGCTATCACCCATTTAATGACCAGTCATTTTCTTGTGAGGAGTTCTTACGCTTTTGGCATACAGCCGTTTGAAGTGGATGAAAAGAGAATTAGCATCACTGTTACATGTCTATGAACCTCTACTACTTCTGAAATTGTTATTTCAGTAACAGATGCATAGGACTCGAAAAGTTCTTGGTGATTTAGAAAATTCATTCAAGGTTTATATATGATATTCATTTGTTTGTAGATGGCAACATTAGCTAAGCTAGACCAAGGATACCATTCCCTTGGAGTTATAATGCAACCCATTTGCCAGTAAATGAAAAAAAACAAGTCATACTCTGCAGTGCTGCTGAAAATACCCCTATTTGTGCAAATCAAATGTGAAACATCTCGCTGTTTGAGAGAGTGTCTTTTGAGACGGATGAATGTTTGAGATAATAGATTTATGTAGTCATTAATGAGTGGCCTGGGTTGGGATGAGAGGGTGAATTAAAGGGAGTTTGTTATGGAAACAAACCGAGATGTATCCATTTGCTTTATGAACCTATAATTTGTGGTCCTGTTATACCATGATGAATGAACGAGATTTAACCAAAGCAGTTCATCAATGCCGAATCATGGTGACGCTTCTAATTGGATTTGGAATGTGTATCGATCCACTGTTTGATGTTGTACAGTGTAGAGCAAATATCTTCAAACTATCAATGAAATGCATTTCTTTCTCAATTCACAACCTTAGGAAAACCAGATAGTAGAACAAAGTTCAGCATTTTAGTTCTTGTAACTCGCTAGATCATAAAATTAGTTTTGTCGTGGCTGTGCCCTGTAAAAAAGTATCCGGGCTTGAATATGAACTTCTATTATGGGAAATAATGTGAACGGATGAGTTAATAAATTGGAGGAGGGAAGTAAAAGATGGAAAGAATGTGAAGGGAAAGGATCCTTGTTTTCTCTTTGCCCGGTATTAGAACTTGTTTTATTTAACTAGTGATTCAAGATGTTTATATATCTTGATCACGTGAGTTTATATTACACATTTACTATACTTTTAATAAAGAGATTAGCGTTTTATGTCAACACTCTTTCAAGAGACAGATTAATAATAAATAGCTATTGACAGTCAGTTTAAATTATCTGTTTTTTTTTTTTTTAATGTTAAAAAAATCTTATCCTTTTAGCTTCGATTTGGACTTTCTTACAAGGTTTTAAAGAATTGTTTCCAAACATGAGATTTGGATGAAGTTGAGGAACATCATGTAAGAGCTGGAAGGGAAAACGAGGGAAAAAATAACAAATAGTGAAGGAAAAAAGAAGAAGAAAAGGTTAAATTTTATTAGCTTTTAATAGCGGAACTTCTTGGAAAAACAAGGTCAATTATAAAATATAATGACAAAAATGAAACATTAAAAAAGATTAAGGGGGTAAGATATAGTTTACCCAATCAAATAAGTAGGAGTAGGAGTATCAAACCGTTAAAACTACAAATTAAAATAAAAAATAAAAAATAAAAAATGGGAGGTGTACCAGACGAACTATGGAGACAAATTCTGGAAATGGGAATCCAAAATTCCAAATTGAACTACAAAGATCTGTGTTGTATCTCAATTTCCTGTAGACGCCTCCACCGTTTATCCGCTGAGAACTCTCTTTGGCTCCTCCTCCTCTCCTCCGATTTCCCTTCTACAAATCAACAAAACCCCAACCCCAACCCCAACAGTTCAACTTCCGCATCAGCTAAATCAACTTATAAAATCAAGTATACTTATTTCAAAATCGAAATCTTATATGTTTTTTTTCTTGATGAATTTGCTTTTAATACTGTTCAAAATTAATGAATGTTTTTTTTTTTTTGGGATTAGGTTTGAGAGGGAGAAATCGAGGAAGGTTGCGGCGCATAGAAGGGCGGTGCTAAGAAAGGAGAGTGAAGTTTTGGAGTTTGAAAGGAAAATAAAAGAAATTGAGAATGGCTTGCGTCAAGAGACGGAGAAAATGAGAGCCACGGCTGCTGAATTGTCCAATTTACACAAGGTCAGGTAAATCATTCTTTTTCCTTCTTCGTTTTGTATTCGAACAATTAAATGTCATGTTGCAAATGATTTTAGAGTATTCATGGCAAAAACAAATAAAATAAATGAAAAATGGAATAGCGGAGCAATTTGTTTCAAATAACAGAAGCCTGTAATTTGTTTGAATCTCAAACTCATTTCAATACTTTAGCATTTGATTTCAGTTTATAAGTTTCCCAATTTCATTGATTTGGATATTCCTTTTTGAAGTTTCTGCATTCATGGATGTGAGTTCTTTTTTTTTTCCTTCAGGCAAGCTTCTGTGGCTCTGAATGTGTGGCAGCCGGAAGTTATTAGGGGTAGGCAAAAACAAATAGTGGAGCAGAGTGCTGTTCCAGTTGAATCTCGGGTTCATTCACTTGAGATGGAACTTAAGCTTTGCAGGCAACGGATATCAGGCTTTGATAAGGCTTATGTAAGCTAAGCTTTGATTTCTCTCTATGTAGTAGTCGGTATATCAGTTTAGTGGAAATCAAAAGCTTTCTTTCCTAATTCCTCTGATCGTTTTCATCTCAGAGAGATGAGAAGCGGAGACTTGAGATGGCAATGGAACAGGTGGCGTCCATGAAATATCATCCATTACGAGATCATAAGTTGATGAGTAGTGGTGACAAGGAATGTAAAAAAAAGAGGAAGAAGTTGAAAACATCTGTTATCTGTAAGAGCCTCAAACTTTGTCATTTTGATTGTGAACAAATTGTTGCATGTAAATTGAATAACAAACTGAAAGAATTTTGCTTCACCCCTATGTTGTCTTGTTAGCTGTTATTTGTACTTATAGATTGGCTTGACTCTCTGAACTTGATCTTTGCCCTGTCCTTCATCCTGACTCTCTTTCACTGGTCATTTCAGATACTGTTAGATTAGGAGTGGGGAGTTGGGAATTTGCTGTTATTTTGATTTGTAGTTTCTTCATGTGTGCTCTCGACCAGTGATCAATCCTTTTCCACTGTATCCCATTTGGTTACTTTAGATGCATATGGGATTCTTTTGCTTTTCAACTTCCTTCTTTTAATTGCCACTAATTCTTTTAGAATGAATGTTGTTATTGATGTGTGCTACTAATTCTTTTTATTTTTTGAGCAAAAAAGTAAAAATAAAATTGCTAGTGTTTTAATGGTGAAAAACAAAGGATGATGGAGGTATTACTGCAATGACACCCAGAATTAAAAATTCTGTAAGGAAATTGTAACTGACCACAAATATCCTTTTCTAACAGTCATTGCTGTAAGGCTCAGAGCTTTGATGCTACGCCCAGTGATATTTATATCCTCCAATTATAATTCGGTTTTCTTTCTTTCTTTCTTTGTTTTTTTTTTTTTTTTTTTGCTGAAACACAGAACATGTGCTTTGTCACATGTTGAAAATATCAGTCTCTGCTCCAACCTGCTACTTATTTACTTATTAGCGAAATGAGTTTTCAATTTAAGTGTCTGCCCAAATGAACAAATTTATGACCTCTTTGTTTTCGTTCTTCTTATATTTAAATGCTTTCAGTCTTATGGGTCTGGAATGTAAATTCTGTTGATTAAGCTAGGTTTCAGAGGTTTTTTTATCTGATTTATGACCATTAACTGAGTTCTATTGTTAAACAAACGAGAATTAGTTTAACTTGCTTAGAAGTCAAGCTTGAGCTACTGACAAGAAACTAACATTTAATCTTGACAAGAAACTTGAAAAATAGTCTATGCTTGAAATCATCCTGTCGTTGTTGCTGAACCTGGAGATAGACTACTGTTATGAATTATCTCCATGTTAATGAAATTAACCCTTCTGTGGCAGCCTACTGCTACTGCATGGATTATTGATAAAGTTTGTGATTGGCATTTAGTAGAACAACAAATTTCATGCTTTCCTCTTCACTGCTTTACCTTAAACACCACTAAAATTTGTATTAAAACAATAGTGGTTAGATTGTCTCATAAAAATTGCTTTGTTATGATGATACTGACATTCTAAAAACAAAATGAGGATATTGAGCAGTTGGGATAATTTGCGATGAACTATAGTAATCTGTAGATATATAGTATATTTTTTTTCTTACTAAACTACCAATATGAATTTACCTATTCCATATTTTGATATTTCTTTTTGGTAGGACTTGCTTGTAAAACAATCTCTAACTGCCTTTTTAATTGTCTCTGCAGTTCCTGAAAAGCAATGGTAAAACGTCAAAGCAGTGGAGGATTTCACAAACAACCAACAGCCTGGCTGGTACTGCCATGGAAGAATCTCTAGTTGCTACAGTTCTCTGTCTTCTCCTTGATAGAGTTGCAGAACTGGATTCTCTACTGGGCTCTTGACAAGCTTTGCTACAGGGGATGCTGAGTGTGGGACTTGATCCTGAGTCCGTGAGAATGGGAAATCGTTGTAGAAACCGGTTAGGGTTTCATATATTAAGTTAATATTACAGTGTTATCATCTGTATGCACATGAATTAACCTGTTATCTGCTGGATTTTATTTTTGGTCACAAGGCTGGGTTGTTTATTGATACTCCATAAAAGGAACAATGTTAGAGGATGTGGATTTCTTGAATTTCGTGAGCCAGTGTTGTGACATTGATTCTTGTCAACATGAACAAGTACTTCAGTTCTACCGAGGCAGTAGCCCAGGTCTCGTGGATGAGGCTTGCTGTCCCCTGCCTGATGGGCCTGCAGCTATCTGACGGAGAATTTAGCTACCGGAGAATTTAATTATTGGCTGCGGTTGCCGAGAAAGCTGTGAAGTAGGGGAAAGATGAGCTACGTCGTCACTAATGTCTCAATACTTTAATCAACGTTTAGTAAGTTTTATGGTGAACGGTGTTTGCGCTCTGTTGTCTGGTTTTCATTCCCATCAAAACCTTTTAGACGATGCTGCTGTTACCTTGTTATCCAAGAAACACTACTCAAAGTTCTAGGGATTCCTACTGGTGGAGTTACAGTATTTCGTTTGGTTAACTTGTCCTTGGGGCATCTTATGTTAAAAGATGAAAAATCTTGATGGCCGACCCCATGAGGGTGTTGCTTCGTAAAATCCAGCCAAGAAAGAGAGGGGATTGGACAACCAATTTAGTACATTTAATTTTTATAATCCACAAGTATAATGCATTTAATTCAAACCCAGTAATAAGTAAAAAGAATTGCACTAGCATTTGTTTTTTTTTTTTTTTTTTTTTTTTGCAAATGTTGGGTGGTGGTTTAATTGGTTCTTTAAGTAAAATCTTTAATTGTTATGAATGCTACCTCCACTCCGCGTGAACTTGAATGCAAAAGCCTCCCCCACCGCGTAAACTCTCGCATAAATATCTGCAGGCGAATTTGGTGGCGCCACTCAAATGCATATAATTTTTGGTCATTTCTTCGTGCCAAATTATTTCGGTGGTCGGATGGCCCTTTTTTATTTGACTGTAAGTAATATTTTCAAACTAGTTTATACATTAATTAAGAATATCTCTTTTTATATAAATAATTTTAAAAAGATACCCTTCATATTGCTTAAATGCATTCATAGAATTTTAATAAATTTTTCTAAATGCTAGCTTTAAAGTTTAAACTAAAAATAAAATAAAATGATCCATTCTTCTTCATCACCGGACCAATTCTTCTCTAGTGTTATGAGATGACCACAATTATAACATAAGCATTATAATGATATACACTCAAATTCTATACATACATGAGGAAATGTGTGTGTATTACATGACAAAATGTAAATAAATTATTTTTGGATGGTAATATAAATTATTTTCAAATCTTATTCAATTAGAATGATGTAATATTGTGCATTAAAAAGCAATTTAATATAATTCTCAAATCTTCCACGAAAAAGTCTTTTTTATTTTATTTAACAAATATAAAATTCAATCAACCGATCCTTTTGGAAACCAAGTATGTAAAACTATGTCTCTAATGGCTATACGAATCTAAAGACTAAAGTGGTGCTACTGATTGAATTTTGGTGACGAGATAACAAAAGATGACACCATTTATTGAAGAAACGAAGGAGGCTTGTTTAGACCGAAATAGTTGGTGGTCGGTACCCTTCAGATTACTCCCTTTTGTGTTGTGTCTTTGTGAAGTGGTGTAAATGTGTTAAATGTTGTCCTTTTTATTTAAAAATAAATTAAAATAATATTTTTAATTTTTTAATATTAACGGTTAAAATGATTATAAAATATAAAAAATAATTTAAAGCTAAAAATAATTTTAAAAAATCCCAAAAATATAATTGAATTATAATTCTAAACAATGTAAAATTTTAATTATAACATCATTAATATCATAAAAAATATTAATAAAATAAATTTAATAATATCAAAGAAAATCATAAATAATTAAATAATTAATAAAGTGATCACCTATGTTCTCAAATGTATATGTTTTCCACCTACAATCTTAATTACAAGCGGGTCACCTAAAACCTTTGATTAACAATTGTTATACAATCAAGTTATTTTTTTTTTTGATAATTCTTAGTTGCATCATTAAGAATTTTTTATGATATCTTCAATATAATTAAAATTATATTATAATTAGAGTTTTGAAATGCTTTTTTTTTGTCATGCAAGTTTATTTATTTATGATGTTTTTGAATAACTATAAAATTGTAATGTAAGGTTGATATTTTTTTTTTTGAAGGTCAATTAAAAAAAGTTGATATGCTTTTTTTTTTAAAATTAATATGAATATTTAAACCGACTTATATTTTAATTAATTTTAATAATTCTAATATTTTTAAAACTTAAATTAATAAATCTTAAAAAATAAATTCAATATCTCATCCATTAAGCTACTACTACAGACATCATAGTAAAGTTGATATCTCCTCTCCTAGAAGCAAATGACAAAAAAGTCAATTAGCCGTCCGTTTAGGTGAGTAGCCTTCGGAAGTTTCCACAGTTCCTGACAGCTTAGGTTGAGGCTACAATAGGGAGTACTGCTGTAATCTTTCAACACCTATTATGAGACAGATTGTACTTCTTAACAATACACTGTGGAGACATGCAAGGGGTCCTTCGGCTAAAGTCCTGTCAATTAATGAATGAAACTTTGTCAAAATGATTGCCCACTTTGCTTTCACGGCAGATACAATTAATTAATACTTTGTTTGGGTAATGTGATGTGTTATGTTTTTATAAAATATATTTTTTAATTAAAAATATATTAAAATAATATTTTTTAATATTGATGTATTAAAATTATTAAAAAACATATAAAAATATTACTTTAATTTTTTTAAATTAAATCAATATAAATTGTTTTTTAAAATAAATTGAATAGTAAAAACAAAAACATTTCTTAAAAGTTATTGAGATAATAATAATGATTGTTTTTTCAAATATTTTTTATTTAAAAATACATCAAAATAATATATTATTTTAATTTTTATGTCAGCAAAAAAAATACAAAAAAGAGATATTAATTGAAATATAAATTTTAAAAATTATTAAAAATCATATAAAAAAGATATGAATTTAAAACAATTTTTTTAAATGATCAAGTGTCTAGCCTATTACGAAATTGTTTTATGTTTTTAAAGTTTTCAATTTTTTTTGAGAAAATAAATAAAATAAATATGTCTAAATTTTTTTAAATTCCAACTATTATGGTGGAAAAAAAATCACGGTTTTTAGTTTTCTAACTTTAAAATCTTTTTTTTAATCCTAAACACTTTAATAAACCCATAAACAACAACAAAAAACCTCATAAAAATTCAAAATCAATCCGAAACCAAATATTTTCTAAGCTTATATATGATTTTTTAGGTAATTTTAAAGTTTTAAAACAGAACTCTCTCAGCAAATGAAACTTTTTGATATCAATATCAATAATTTTAGTGATCAAAATCATTGTCAACCTTAATTTTCTTTCACATACTAGAATTTAGTGAGCTCCTATTTCCTTTCTTTAACCAGGGATTAAATATTAAAAAAATAAAATTTTGGATCAAAATTAAATCTTAGACATTTAAAAGGACCTTAATCATATTATTTGTAAAGATGAAGGATGAAAGTATATTTTTTTTGCAAATTCTGGCATCATCACCAATTTTGAGTGCTTTTTTCATCTCCTTCCTTTTTTTATTTAAATATTGCCTTTACATTAAAAATCATAAGCAGCTGGCCTTTAATTCAAGGTTTAATTGCTAAAAATAAAGGTTTAAGGATTAAAATAAAAAAGAAAAAATACCTAATAAGTTCTTTATAATTTGTGAGTATATAAACAATCCAACACCATATTTTCTCAACAAGTTGATTTTTTTTTGTATTGCTTAGAAACATTTTTTCTTTTTTATCATTTAATGATAATTTTCTTGAAATGCATTGTTTGATTTAATTCATTTTATTATATGAGAATCTACTCCAATTACTATGAAAGATCTCAATACTTCATGATATTTGTGAATCTTGTATATCTATTTTGCCTTCCTTATTATGACGAAAATACAATTCTTTCGTATTCTTGTGTCATTAAACATTTCGTATTGATAGTGCACTGGAATTTTGAGATTTTAATTTTTTTAATCTTATTTCTAAATTTAGAACAATTACTCAACATTCTTGTTCTTATTTTTCAAAAAAATAGACGTGTTAAATATATACGGACACCTATTTTTAATAGTCATATCAACTCTAACTTCTTATTCTAAATACTTTTTGATTGATGCTGCTTTTACTATTGTTTTTACTATTAATCATGTATTTTATTTTAGTACTAGTAATCTATCCCTTACGAATGCAATAAATTATAACCTCAAACTCGTTTGTGTTGTTGCCAAGAATATTATATCGAACATAAAGGTTATTTGTGTTGGGATCTTATCTTTAATCATTTACGTGTTCTGTATATTACACTTTGAAAGTAAAAAAATGTGTTGATGATGCTAACACAATTTCTCTTTTCATTGATTTTATGGGTGTACTTGGGAACATGGTTGAAATCATATATTGTAAAAATTTAAATTTTTTTGTTTAAAATTAATTTTTTAATATTTTCAGATTGTTTTAATATGCTAATATTAAAAATATTTTTTTAAATAAAAAATATTATTTTAATTTATTTCTGAGTGAAAAACACTTTAAACTATAACTAACATCATATTTCTAAACACACCCTTTATAACTCTAGCTACAATCCTATTTTCCTTCATGAATCATGTTTATAGATTCTCATTTGAGTCATCCTACTACCCTTAACATTTTCATTGGTCATATAAAGTCAACCTTAAGTATCCTTTTATGACTATTGTGTTTATTATGATTTCCTTTTATAAATCATGTAGCTATCAAGAAGCCTATATTGATATTTTTTAATAACAAGCTTTGGTTAAAACTCATATTTAAGATTTTATTGATTTGCTACTTAATAAGATTATTACTAGTTACAATAGGATCTATAAAATTAAGATTCTATATGATAAATATATGAAATGTTATAAAACTCATCTTATTTCTAAAGGTTATATTGATGACCTATATGATATTGACTTACTATTATGCTTAGTTTGTTAGTTATTATTTCCATTTTTCATTAGCCTATTTCTTGGCCAAATATAAATAATCTTTTTTCAATAGTGATTTATTTTAGAAGATATATACGAAACCTCCTTGTGTGAATATTATAATTGTATAGTCATATAACCTAAAAAAAATTAAAAATCAACTCAAGAAAGCTAAATATTAGATTTGAAAACTTGATCCAAAGGTAACTCTGTATCTAAGAATCAAAAGTATTGGGAAAAAAACTTAGACCCAGAGACAACTGACATGATCAAAAGATTAATGTCTTCTTTCAAGTGCACGGTATCGAAGTAATAAATAACCCGGCAAGACTGGGGTCGAACCATAGGGAGGTTAATTGTATAAATTTTAGATAATAATAATACAACAACAATAATATCAATAATAGTAATAGTAACAACAACAACAACAACAA